GGATATTAGGAAACACTATTTCACTAGGAGGGTGGTGAAGCACTGGAATGCGTTACCTAGGGAGGTGGTGGAGTGGGATGGGATGATTTAGTTGGGAATTGGTCCTGCTTTGAGCAGGGGGATGGACTAGATGACTTCTTGAGGTCCCTTCCAACCCTGATATTCTATGATTCTAAGGTCCCCATGCTTCAATACTGACAAATACATAGCTGGAATCACTTATAACATCTGTATCACAGATTGTAAAGTAATATTTGAGCATTTGCACTATAAGCCTTGATAATTGTGTAAGTCACCAGACAGGAGAGATGTAGTGGTAGCCATGTAGGTCCCAGGACAGCGAGACAAGATGGGTGAGAAGTTGGTCCAATATAAGGTATTACATCACCCACCTTTTCTCAGACAGATGAGATATATTGATTAGTGTGAAATGCTGGTCTCCAACAGAAGGTGGTCTGTCCTGCCCCACAAGGAAGGCCCACTGACACCAGGCAGATCAGAGTGGAACGTTAAAAGAGAACCAACAACTTTGTTGTTTACTCTCCATCCCTCCCGCCTCAGGAAGATGAGTCTTGCAAGTGAATTCCTCCCATCAGATGAGTTCATCACTGGAAGCAGCAGCTCAAAGTGGACGGGGGAAGGGAATAAAACCCCCTAACTTCTGCTGCTGAGACTTGAGAAGGTGGCTGGGGACAGGCAAGGATTACTAGACATCAGCAAAAGAACCTCAATGCTCAGCCTGGTTAGCCCTAGAGGACATAGAGATCTTGCTTATTATAGAAGCTTCTACAACTTTTTGAAACTTAAGATTGGAACTAATTTGTGTGTACCTATGTTTACTTGCTTTAACCTCTTAAATAATTGATGTTTCCCTTTCCTAAATCTGTATATATATTATAGGATTGACTACGAGCGTTGTCTTTGGTGTGAGATCTAAGGTGTAATTGACCTGAAGTAAGCAACTGGTCCTTTGGGACTGGGAGTAGCCTAAGGCCAGGTCTACACTGCAGACCTATAGCAGTATAAAAGACGGTTACTCACCGTTGTAACTGTTGTTCTTCGAGATGTGTTGCTCATATCCATTCCAATTAGGTGTGCGCGCGCTGCGTGCACGGTCGTCGGAGAATTTTCTACCCTAGCAACACCGGCGGGTCGGCTGTGGAGCCCCCTAGAGTGGCGCCTTCATGGCGCTGAATATATACCCCAGCCCACCCGGCGCCCC